CGGCCCCTCTCTCTCTCCAAAGCGGCTCGGCGATCCTCTCCCCTCGACCACCTATCTCTGCATTTACCACAATAAATGTGCCGTGGTTTTGTAAACTCGTGTATGTCTCCTTGTCTTTCCGTTGTGGCCTACGAGCCGATCATAACAAAGAGTAAGTTATTTTTACCTGTTATAAACTACTACTGTTTGATGAGAAATCAAATCATGGTTTGCTATATATGAATGATATGTTATAGGAGCAAATAATTCAGGGAAGAAAGGATAGGCCTACTAAGTATTTCCATTAAACTTTATTTTTAGAAATGTACAAAATGAACGTAAATATACATATATACACGGTATATCATCAATTACTCCCCGTTGTCGGCATCTTGCCTATAGCAGCTGGGGCTTTTTAGGACGATGCATCAGTGTGGTAGTCCCGTCATGTATTGTCCGGCAGGATCTGGCTGGACGAAATCAAATGCAAATCACAAAATATTAGAGAAACTTAGTTGTTTTAGATTCGTTAGTAGTAGTTGTGGTAGGAGTCTATCTAATGAACACAGTAGCTTGCCAGCTAATATGCTAACCTAGCTTTGTTTACCTTGGTAGCTAACACGATATGAACGCTAGCTCGGAGGAACGGCAACTATAATGTAGAGTAATAAAACTACTATGAACAAAAGCTAGTGGTTCATATTAGGCTAGCAATAACGTGTTTATAATTGCAATCTTATACGGGTAGTCTGCTACGTTCGGTCATTCACTGTAACGGTCATGAATACATTGTTTTTGCACTAGCATGTATAGCTAGCCTCGTTAGCTATACATGCAGTATGTACATGTACTGTCACAATGTACGGTAAATCACCCGGAGTATACTGTATGACTATTCCGTGTGTGACTGCAGACATTCTCCTGCCATGACAAACATGTAAGGCCATCTGCTGACATTGTAGTTGATATATTTAAACGCTAGCAACGTCGTTAGCCCAGTAAGCTGGGCTTGTTTAGTGTAATAAAACCACTATGAACAAAAGCTAGTGATTCATATTAGGCTAGCAAGAACGTGTTTACAATTGCAATCTTATACGGGTAGTCTGCTACATTCATTGTAGCTGGCATAACAAAAAAAATTCCCGAGCAAACCCATGTCTAGCTCCGTTGGTTAGCTCGGTAGCATACACGCTACGCCAGCTATAATGTAATTACGTTTCGCGACTGACCATACGGCAAATCACCCGGAGTATACTGTCTATGAGTATTTCGTGTGTGACTGCAGACATTCTCCTGCTATGAGATACATGTACTGTATGCAAGGCCATCTGCTGATATTAGAGTTGATATATGGAAACGCTAGCAACTTAGTTAGCACAGTTAGCACTGTGTCAATGGCTTAGCAGTCCGACACAGTTTATACATTTAAACAGTCTTGTTTGATAAATACACAAATAACAATGCAAACTTACAGGTTGTGTACCCGAATCTTCCCCTGCTCCAAACAGTCCAAACAAACTAGGAATAGCATCGTCCTTCAGTTTCAAATGCTGTGCATATCCGGCCTCAAACTGGGCAATGTTTTGGAAGCTTTCGTCTGTGAAATGCCGGTTCTTCGAACCTCTGAAGGAACAGTGTTAAAAAGACATTTCAACCACTGACTTCGTCGTGGTTCTTCCGTCGGTAGGACAAACAGCTCAGATTTCTCCTCACATTTCAGGAAACAGGTCCTTGGCAGTGGCATGACTGGATCGATTGTGAACTGAACCAGAGCTTCCAACAGTAAATGTTAGACTGGCAGAGGGTGCGGCCAGCGCCGCTGGGTGTGGACATAGCTCTTCGGGATTGGTCCATTTCGTTCCGGGTACCGCATGACATCATGCCGTACCCAGAACTAAATGGATGACTCAAATGGGCAGTGACGTATCTCCAACGAGGCGTTTTGGGGAGGTATTTTCTGTGTTAGAGTTTTACTCGCTACTGGGTTTACTTTGAGGGTTTTGACTCTGCACACCGTTTACATGCATAAAAACCTTCATATCACACAAGGGGACGGGTAATAACCGGAAAAGCATGACATGGGAGCTTTAAAACTATTATCAAGCTGTAATACAATTTTGACACCAGGCAGCCAATCAGTAACAACAGTTTTCCACTTTAGTAGTAAATAAATAAGACTGTTCAACATCCGTTTTAGTGCCCTTTGATAAAGCAAAGGTCATCAACACACCATAGCTCTTTACCTGGTATTTCAGTAATTCGATAAATGATGTTATTTAGGGCTGTGTGATAACTGTTAAGTTATGAATCCTTTTTTACAGTGCTTTCTTCCATCTCGTCTTTAATTACCAACAACTCGTACTCATTTCTCCCAAAAGGGATGAAACATTGCTAGCAACATCTTCTGCCACATTCTGTGTTGTGTGATGTTAAGCTAACTTACCACAAGATGATGGTTTGACTAAGGCGTTACTATGGAAACCAAAACTGAGAAGTAGATTGGACAAGGTGTCCCAGCTAATATCAGCATTGTTTTTTCATTGAATTTGTTCTAATACATGGGACATAGCCATGGCATTTATTTTTGCCACGTGGAAGCAGGGACATTATAATGTTTTTTTTTAACACATTGAACATTTATGGGTCTAAAGTTAATTAATAATATTAATATTATATAAGCTTCAGATCTGCTCAGTAATATGATAAAAAACTAAATGAAAATGTGTTTAATTCCCAAAGAAAGCCCAGCTACTGCTCTGTACATTTATGCACTATGCCATATCCTCTTATTCATTCACCATGTCCTGCTGAGGCCACTAAGGACTCTTTATGTGCTCATATTATTAATCATAGCATTCTAATAGAAGCCTTATAAGCCCGTAGTATCAGGCACACTAACGGCCCGTCCACACGGCGGCGTGCGTTGAAGCTTCAACGCTTCTGCCCATTCACTTTGAATGGGGTGACGTTGCGCTTTGCCGAACTGCATTGTGTTCGCGTCGTAATCAAATCATATGCCAGTACAAGCTCTAGCCAATCAAACCGCGTGCTTATGTGTCCGGGGCGGGAGATTCATGTCATTGGTTGTTGGTCGAGTTTCAGACACGCCCACCGGCAAGCTTCAACGCACGCCGCCGTGTGGACGCTGCGTTACACTAGGAATAATCAATGCTTTAACAGAGGACATTTTTCCTTACTATAACTTAGGCTAGAAAAATGCTGTATGCTGCTTTTATCTTTAAATTATCTGTCCGTCCTCTTAGAAAATACAATCTATTTGCATGTTACAGTAATGCTCAAACAAGCATCACGGCAGTTAAAGGTTATTACAAAGTGATTAACTAAATTATTGTCAGTCAAGTATCTCCAGGTTTTGCCGGATGAAACAGAATTCAGCAGAATCAGGTTTTAATAGTATTTTATTTACACTGACCAAACTGTCTGACGGTCATTTCTGTTGACAAATAACAACACACATGTTTTCCCCTTTGTGTAAATGTTCTGCAGATGTGGTGTAAATGAAATGCCCTTTTTTATTGGCAAACATTGGCTTGTATTTCATGACACTTGTCCTGCTAAGCTATAACTCCAAAGCATGTGTTCCACAGTTTAAAGACAGTATGGATTTTCTACACTAGTAGCACTTTTACAGGTGCCAAGAGGGAAAGCCTGAACGTGGGCTGGGGTTGCCAAGAGACAGTTCAAGGCTTCTTGTTGAAAGGCATATGTCTACAAAGAGTTGTGTAATATTAAAAACACAGAATGAATCTACCGTAAAGTTGCTTGTACTGCACTCGGCGATTGGTTTGTGAACTGCAGCTGTCAGATAGAAAAGACATATGCCCAGCAAGTGTAAAGACGGTCTGAATCAGAGAGACTGACCTTCAGAATCAGAGACGCTGACCTTTTCTTCATCGAGCTTTAGGCAGCTAAGTAAGTGTAAATCCTCAGCAGCCCTGTTAGAAGTTCGTTCCTGGCTCAGCTGGCTGAAATGGAGCAAAGACTCCAAGCTTTCAGCCTCCGTTGCTGAGTGTTTTGTCGTCGGGGGTTTATCGTCTGCCTGTCAGGCTGAGTTTTAGTTGAGCAGGAAGGGAGGAGATTATAGACTCATTACTTTCTGTTTCCCAAAAATGTGTTTTACTGTTTTATAGTTACTCAATAATACATATCATTTTCTGAATTGCACTAAAGCGGGTTTTGACATTTTTTAATCAATCATTTATTTTATAATTGTAGACATGAAAAGTTCCCGGAAAGCAGTATTCCAAGTCTAACACTTGTTCTCCATTTCCATACTCTTGGGTGCAATGTGAACAGAAAGTGTGATTCTGCCAAAGCAAATAAAGCTAGCTGTTGGCTAAAATGTGTATTAGTTTACATTTTTACGGCTTTTTCAATATGCCAAATGAGCTTATTACCCATGCAGACAATTGCCACTGGATTACTTTGATCCTTAAACATAAAAACCCTGGAAGGAGTTTTTTTTGCTTTAAATTCCAGGCAGGTTTATGGATTTGTACAAACAATGTGTGTATCTTTGTCCCTCCTATTTCTCCCCTTGTGATCTAACTCTCCCTGTATGAACCTCTTGTTTAATCCTACTCTGCATTTCTTACACTTACGCACAAACCTGGCAAAAAAATCAATAGTTTCTACTCTTTACGCTTCAACCAGTAGCTCTATAGCTCACTCTTTCGGTCAGTCGATCTACAGAAATATACTTCCAGTGCATGCATGCGCACAACAGCAGCAGAACGAAAAAATACTGCAGCACCAATGAGAGTGCTCATGTGCCAAGGATATGCCTGATTTAGATCTGACTTTTTTTTCTACCACAATATTGACATCCAATCATTTATTTGTCAGCATTTATCACATTTAATTTAACAGTCTTTTCCTTCATAATTCATTTATGTCTAAACTTCCAGAGAATACAACCAGTGAAACGGCAGTATCCATCATTTGCATTGACATTCTTAATACTTCAAGAGCCGGGTTAATGGTGTCCTCCTGTCTTGCAGGGGCGTGGTGAGAGTGGACATTAATCTGCAGGATGTTGATATCGACCAGTGCTCCACTGACGGCTGGTTTGCTGGAAGCCATCGATGCAACCTGACCACTATGGAGGTGAGTGCCGAACATGTGGATTAGACAGAAGATTGATTCGCTCTGGAAAACTGAACTGTAACGTACACGCCTTCAGTCACATCTCCACCAGGCAATAAATGGAAAAGCACTAAATCTGTACATCTGTTGGTGAATGGATGGGAATCTGATTCCTATTTTATTACACCGCTACCACCTACTACCACTTAACTAAACATATGATATGCATAGAAATTTCTTTTTTAAAACCTCCAATTAAACAACATATATGTTTATGGGGTGTTTCCAAAGCAGATCAATGATTTACAAACGGTGACAGGTATAGTTGTTTCATACTATACAATAGCATTTACTGTAAAGAAAACACATCATATGTATCCATATTTAGTTTTTTAGGTCACACCTGTAGCTATGTTAAAGGTCACCTATTATGCAAAATCCACTTTTTCATGTATTGTATATATAAACATGTGTCCCCTTTGTGTAAAGAGATTCTGAAAGTTTCAGGAAAAAATATTCGCTCACTTTTTGTTCTGATCCATTTATATAAAAACCTGTCTGAAAATGAGCTGATCAGATTTTGGCCACTTTATGATGTCATAACGTTTTTTTGGCTTGTATAACCATTAGCCAATCACCAACCAAGGTAACACTCCCCACCTTATCACCTGAATCTCCTCCTAGAGCACCATTGTGTTCTTTTAACCAAATATCTCTCAGAGGGGCGTGGGGAGTGGCTCCTTATTTTCATCTAAAGTAACAGACAGAGAATCAGCACTTTTGAAACAGGGCTGAAACAGAGGGGATTATGGGATGCTACAATGCATGATCTGTTTGGTATTTCGAGCCAAACACTTCAGAGACATGTTTTGTATATATCAGAGATATATATATTGATAAAAAACAGTATAATAGGGGACCTTTAAATGCACCTGCACCAAGTTATCACGGCTATCAAGGTTTATGTCATAAAGCATGATATGTCTGTCAGTTAAGTCTGAATGCACATCTTTGCGTGACAGATGGGCCGTACATTTTTTAAGAACACGAACAGAGATACAGTATAGTGCCTTGGTTCTAAATCTAAAGGATCCATTTACAGGGTCAAGAGATATATTTAATTTAAAATGTAAGAGATGATGGAGATAGAGAGTGGGAAATGGGCTCAGGCTTGGCAGAGGAGGAAATAGCCCTGGCCATTTTTAAACTAATGAAAAATAGCCTGTCTAAAGGCCTTGGAACATGTAGGCAGAGCTCTTGGACAAGATGATACAATTCTCAGCGCTCTTCTATTTTTGAGAGGATGTCAAATATCCACATCCTTCAATTCGAATTGGAGAGCTGTCATTTATCTTATTTTCATCAACGCTAGCTTTAATCGATGGTAACCTATTGGCACAAGAAGTCAAAACTTAGTTAACACATATCACTTTTTAAGTTAAATAATCCAATACGCTCTTTCCTTAAGCTTGGTACAAAAAACTGTATTTTAATGTGTAAAGATACATGTTTCCCATCTTATTTTGTCAGATTTTTGAGAATCTATTTAGAGTTGATTTCTCTTTTTGTTCTTAAAAGCCTATCTGCTTTTAAGTTCTTCATGCATGAATTTTCCATCAACAAGGCATTTTCGTTAAGAGAACTTATGCTCACTGTATATTATACATTTTTAGGATCATTGTCTATATACCAAAGAGATGATTGAATATATTAAATGAGTAGTAATACCTTACAACAGCAGTTAGCCTAGCACGCCATGTTATAAGCAAATAGAGAACATACTTGCCTACTTTTTTAATTAATCACCAATTATATATTTGTTCTGCTTGCTTTCTTAGTAACCTTTCATTCACTGCTGTCCAGCTAGCAGCTCTCCTTCTGGTCGATACGTCTTACCTGCCGATTCAGTCTTTCGTTAAGAGCAATAGATTTAGAAGAGGTGCTGTAGATCAGGCTCCTTCATAATGCATGTGATGTAATGGATTGCAGTGAGCCTCTTTGAATAATTCATCACTCTCTTTGTCTGAGTACTTCCACCTTTCTGTGGACAGTCAATGCCTGGGAGAAATTTGACATAGTGAATGTGTGTGTGTGTGTAGGGTGGCTACCGGGGGAGAAATACGTTGTTACTAGTATAGATTTTAGATGGGTTTTCAAAAATAATGATCTCTGTGTGCTTACAGTGCAACAGTGTGTCAGGAGAATGCTTACTTACAGCTGAAAGATGAAAGCTGTGGTCATGGCATGTTGCAGGATGGCAGCTTTATCATACAGAAGTGATCATTAATGTCATATCTCAATAAACAACATATATAGGGAACGGTATGGATGTAGAGATGTATACATATGGGGGTGAATTTAACAGCAGCAGCGATTTAACCACCTCGTTATCTCTTGTGAATACTGAGTTTGTATCATAATTCATAAATAAGGCTTGCATACTCACATCTTGTGCAAATAGGAGTTATAGCGAGCCATCTTCCTACCGACCTTCCTGGTTCTAAAGTGCACAACCAGGTAAATCAGAGGTGACGTGGGAGGCGGATGTCTTTCCAGCTATGAATAGAAAGCACGCCTGCAGCGGTGTAATCAAGTCTTGTTGGGCTGTGTGTGTGTGGTAATGTAATGAAAACAGCTCTGGGAGGGATGCCCCGTATTTGCAAACAGGGATTCATTTTGAGTTATTGCTGTATTTATTTCCCATGCAGGTATTCCCTCTGCATGTGCAGCATTTGTTGTTTAATGGGTTTCTTTTGGGGCCATTTGAATAAAAAAAGGAACACTTTAGGCTGCTCCACTTTAGGAGGATTTGCTTTATTGGAATCTAAAGCATTAGGTTTAGTTGGTTCAGAGCAGTTTATACACTGTGTTTCATTGACATTCACATTTTCATCCCACCTTTGGATGTTCTTTATAACAGCATTTGCAGCACACTCTACTCCCACTTGCGTGTAGTCGCTTTTGCATGCGAAACACAACAGGATTTATCCAACATCTATGAATTTCTCTCTTCACACATCTACTGTTGTTCTTTCTTTCGTAGCAGCGTTTTAAGTGCCACCATTCCAGCAATTGATTTTGACAAAATGCACTCTTTCCAGCCAGCAAGCCAGACAGCCGGCTCCCTGGCCTCTCCTCACTTCCTGCCTCTCAAGCTGCTGTTTGCCCAGCCAAGCATGCAGGCAGCCCAAACTCAGATGGAGGCAAATGCTATGGATGACTGATTCACCAGGCAAGCAGAGAAAAAGCAAAACAAAATGAGGCTCGGACGGTTGACAAGAAAAATACAATAACCCAACAGTGCCAAAAACCTATGAGCATTTGAAGGCAATACTATTTATAAATCCGAAAATGTTAATAGTGTTCCTGGATTCTTTCCTCACTGAAGAATTACTTATTTTGTTTTCCCCAATGAGGTTAGAGTTCAGCTTAGCTATAGAAAAATGCGATCCAGAATCATATATAGTTAATGTTGTAGCACAATGTCGATTTGTTAATGCTCACAGACAGACAGGTAGACAGATATGTCTTCAAAAAAGCGTAGATAAATTAATTGCGGAAATGATACAGTGCATTTCAAAATCATTGGAATGTTGTTGTTTTTGGAAAAACACTGAACACAACCATCATAATATATGAATCTGCAAGCAACACAAACAAATACACTAGACTACGTCATTCCTGCTGTTTCCGACAACACAATACATAGCAATCAATGTTGCTATAAAGTCTGAATGCAGACAAGTCACAGTATATATATTTTTTGCCAAGAGCAAATGTATTTTCTCTGATAAACTATTCAGTACAAGTTTGACTTATGAGCTAAATGACATTACATGACTCATTACATATCCAAGCAGGAAGCCCAAAGATTATCAACTACATCTCGACTTGGAAGTGTTTGAGGCTGACATTTTCCTACCTCTTATCTTTCACTAATGGAACTTCAATTAATGTGTTTCACTGTTATTCAAAAGTCTAGGACTTTGACGTCCTGGGGGCACCTTTCATAGGAGAATAGGGATGTAGATGATGATGAATGTTTCAATCAATTAGCTTATTGCCCAGAACAAGGGGTTGGGCCCTGGGGGACCCAACTATGTAAGTGGCAGTGACACATAACCTGAATGATTACTCCAACCAGCATGACAAGGACTCTTTGCTGTTTTATAGTTTTTTTTAAAACTCAGAATGAAATGAAAACATCAGTCTGACAATACACACAGGCAAAATGTATTCCGGTTGATATTTTATGCAGAGGTAAAAAAACAGAGTAGACAGGATTGTCACCCTACCTCATTTCAGCCATGGGTGGGTTAAGCTCTGATGATGGGAATTGCAATGAACGCTGACATATCTAAACCACTATTTGATGGATTTATGACATTTTGTGAATGCATTTATGGTTCCCAGAGGATGAATCATAATGACTTTAGTGATCCGTAGACTTTCCCTCTATTGCCCCCAAGAAATGTACATGAGTGAAAATATTTGGTGAACGTATTAATATTCCCTTCAAAACAAAATATATCATCATCAATTCACCATTTCAGAACTGGTGCTCCAGTATCTTGGTTGATCAAATACTGGCAACGTTTTAGCATTGCTCATTACAATGACTAACTAACACCTGGCTAGCATCAGCCTGCTAACCTTGTACATTTTTAAGTAATTTCATGACCTCTTTATTTCGGTCTTTGTTTTCTGCCTTTTCAAGTCCACATACATACACTTTTATGAGGAGACGTTGAAGAGCATATTAAATTTCAAGAATGCTAAATAAATGTCTTAAAATGCATTGAAGAAGTACAATTAGTTCAATCATAGTCAGTTTTACACTAAAGCTAACAACCCTTAGGGCTACAAAAGAACAGAATGTCCACACTATAACATTCAAACGCTATTCACATCACAAAAACAAACATCACACACAAAATACCAAACCACAGCGTAGTAGGGAACATTGTTGTTGATTTGTACACTCAAAAGCATGTGAGGTTTATTTTTGCTCTATTGTGGTG